TTTTGTCAACTCAAAAAAATCAGTTTCTACTACTGATGAAAGTAAATCTTTGCACATCTATACGAATTATTTACTTTTTTCTATATTCCTTATATATTTATATATTTCCTTTTGGCATCATTATGTTTCACCGAGTTTATGTGCTTGCGAACAGTACTTTTCTTTTTACTTATAGTTTCTTTGCATGCATCACATCTCAACATGTTTTTACTTGTGACGCTAAGGAACTCATTCCGATTCTCCCTCACTCGTTGATAAGCAGTCACTCTAGGATCCTTTTGTCTGCGAACAGTTTTTTTCCGCCTGCCTGATCTCTTTGGACTTTTCTCGTTCCTGCAATCTCAGCCTTCTCAGGCTCTTTTAAATCTGCCCCACGTCCTTTTGCTATGTTGATCGGATCTTCACTAGCAGAGTCTTCCGAGCTGGAAGCAATTTCTTCGCTTGAAGTTGAACTAACACGAGCTGCCATTTTGAAAACTTCAGACCGCTGGAAACACACAGCCACAGGTAACCCAAAGTTCAGTCGATCACTCTAACACAACACACTGCACAGATGGCAGTAGTCACTAGTCACTTGTAGTCGGTAGTGCCTGACTATCGAGTTAACATGGATATTTATTCGTTTTGTTAGAGAGGAAAGGCATAAAAAAGGGATTTTTGTCACTAAGAAAAGATATATTTTCTCGGATTGAAAAAAGTTGCCGAAAAAATGCTCGAAAGAACATAAGTTGCTGAAAAAATGCTCTAAACCATAAGTTGCTCAAAAGTTACTCGAAAGGCCAAAAGTTGCCAAAAAGTTGCCGAGCAACTTGTGTAAAAGCCTAGTAAGCAGAGGAAGCAATCTGTCAATCATACCATGTGGACTGAACATTCTCGACAGAAAGAAAATTAAAATTGAGAAGCAAAGTGGTTTTTTTTCATGTTCCTACATTGTTTCTTCTACGTATTGACTGAAATGAAAGCACACTATCAAGTGAAAAACGTTAAGAAATGCCGCTGATTTTGTGGATTTCACTGTCGGTTAATCGAAACAATTTTGCATATGCATGTAACAAAACTCGACTTTCTTTCGCTCATGTTTCATCTAGCATTCGATTTCGTAAAGTAATGTGTACTTACAGCTTTTATAAAGCAATTTCCGTTTCCTTTCAATGGATGGAAATAAAAGATGAGAAACTCGATAGCCACGGATTTTGTAAATTTTGCCGCACACGTCAATCGAAATAAATTTGCATAATCATGAAAACAAATCTCGCTCTCCTCGTGTCAATTAACGAACATCTGTTTTCGTAAGGTAATCACATCCCTCTTCCAACAAAGAAAACCAAAACTTTAAATAAAATTGAAGGTCTCTACAACCATTTTACATCAATAACTTGAAAACGAGAAGCCTACAGTAATCTCAAGGAATCCTCAACAACCATAATAATAGAAACAAGTATTGAAACAATCGCGAAAAGCCATAGTTAAAAGCTCTCTTAAAGTCTTGCTTTATAATATGCTTACTTGAACGACACTTAGCATTTATTTTGCCTTTGATGAATTTCCACGCCTTGTCTTTCTCCACAGAGCACTCGACTGGAAATGTAGTAAAAACTAACACTTTTAATGAGTTTAGTTTCGTAGTGTCTAGGGGAAGTTGCTGATGCTCATCTCATCTTTAGTAAAGAAGTATGGCAGAAGCTTAAGCGCGCATTTGTGCCGTTCCAATTCGCTCTGCAGAATGTTCTTCACGGCTAGTAGCTTTCTTGGGGTCATGCAGCTACCAATGAGCTCATCGCCAACTTGAGCTTCTGTTAATTCGTGGAAGCTTTGGGTTGCAGGGGTTGAAGACGTTGAAGTTGTAGGCGGAGTCGGAACCGTTATTGTTTCTGGAGGTAGTGCAAAGATGTCCATAGCTTCGTTTAGACTGGCCAAGGCAACAGAATCTATAGTTTGAAGATCATCCTGCTGAAGGATACTGCTCGCTGATAATGGTGGCTCAGTTTCTGGTTGTTGCATCTATTAAGAAGTTAAAAATCGCATGTCATTTTGTAACTAGGGAATTAAAAAATAAAAAAAGGCCATTTTGGTTTGATTAAGTCAAGTATGTAGAAAATAAATTCAAACTGCTAGCTTTTGATGGTCTTATTGGATTATACCCTGTGTTTTATAATTCTTAAACCGGTTTAATTAGAGTTTAGAGGCACTCAAACAGTTTAGTCTTCTGCAACAAAGTTTGTCAAACCACTAATTCCATTACCGAGAACTCCGTCTTTAAAGCCGTAAACTAAAAAGACATTAAAACTTACCATAACGTTTTGCTCTAAAGAATCCAATCTTTGCTCAATTCTACCCTATCGAACTGTAATGTTTCTCTTCACTCCAGACAAGGCGTCCTCGAATTTCTCCATCATCTATTTAAGTAAAACAAACAAGTGAACAGTTAATTAAACAAAGTGAACAATCAAACATCAGGCAAAACCAAAGAAAGTGTCTGTAAAAATGAGGTTTCCTTATTAAGACGCTTATTTATAAATTACCTAGTCAAAAAGTAATTAGACTTCATCCAAAGGTAAGGCTTGCTTTAGAAACTCATAGTTGACACTGGGTGTCCGTAACGTAATTAAGCGTGTTGAATTTAGAGAAAAAAACTGAAAAGGACTGTCTTTCTTATGACGACAAGTATTGGAATTTGAAGGAGGTCAGAGCAAACTTTCATTACCAGGTCACCAACTTCCCCTGAAAACGTTCCCTGCTCTCGAAATCACTCGGTTTCCGTATTTAGTTCTTCTTTTGAAATCCCAAGTAGCATCTGATGATATTCATTTGACTGGACATTATCCACAAATAGCTGACGCTAGTTAAAAACATCATCATCCAAGTTTGCCCCTGTCAAACCCAAGTCCTCAAGGTGTTCATTGAGCTTTGTATTGGCATCATTCCACTCCAACATGTTACGCAGTTACTTTATGATGCTTCTAAAAGCGCAATCACCGTCTCCTTCCACAGGATCAATTAAGAGATTGAAAGAGTAAAGGTTTCTCTCCAGCAAACTAGTTTGGTCGTGTTCTGATAAAGGATCGGTATGGGCATCTGAAGCAATTACATGGTTATCGCCAACAGACTGCTTCACAGGTAAATCGTACGCGTTGAATGATCTGTCATTGCACTGTTGGTTGATTTCTTCTAACATATCGAGCATATTTTTCGCTTTTTTCAGAAGTAACCCTGTCACTGTTTCGTTACACATGTCTTCCACATTTTCTAGCATTAATATAGCATTTGCGGACAATCCTTCAACAGTAGTTGTATCGATGTCACAACTGTTCCACACATTATCTAACTGCACTATGTTATCTCTAATAGCGCTACAATTCAAACGTGCTGTTCCACCCCTTTGTTGTTTTCCCTTCCCATCAATTTCCGATTTGACACTTGGAAGAGGGACGAAGGGTATTATTCTTGAATTTCCTTCGTGTGTTTTTCCTTCCTTTCTGCAATTTAACGCATAAAACATTAAGGTGATAACAGCAACAGCAATTTCAGGACCAATAGTAGTTGCACCGCACAGCAAAGATTTGTTGAGTGTTTGATGCAGACGTTCATTTCACTCTGTTCCTTGTCCTGGATAAATTCCAGAAAGGCATCCTTTCTTAACATGAACACGCAGGTTTTGAAATTCTTTGAAAGCTTT